CAGGATTGTGAAATCCACCCTAGCCGCCCCCCTCTCATTATATTTATACTTAACTTAAAAAGATGAGATATTACAAGGATGCCCTTAGTAGGGCGGCTACTAAAAGCTGAACAGTCACAACTTAAAAAAACATAAACTAATGGGCCTAAGGCCCAACAACTTCCTAACTAAATAAAAACAAACCGGACCAACTCAACAGAAACAATGTAAACAATATGTACAACAAAAAATTGGGCATGTCTTTAATATAATAAATTCATCATATTAAGAAGAAGCAATTGGGTTGTGGGTGAATAGTCCAATTACATGAGTTAAATGGGTCAACTCTTGACCAAGGTTCAAAGTATTGAGACTCTAAATATGAAAAGATTCCCTATTGAGAGTGTAGAGATAGTTAATAGACTATTAGTGTGTCTGTTGTTCCAGCCCCACACTTTATTTTACTGTTTATTTCTTTATGTTACAGTTTTAGTAGTTGGGCCAGTTGGGCCATGTTTATTTTTCTTTTGTTTTTAAGTAGGGGTATTAGAGTAGCTCTGCTTATTGTAAAGTCATGAATATAAATAAGATTTAGTGGGGCGGCCAGAACAATCTAACTGCACCATTTTCTCTTCTCTCTTCTTTCTTCTCTTCTCTCTGCTCTCTTCTTCTTCTCTTCCAACCTATGTTGACTTCTTTTCTTCTTTCCAAATTACATCAGAAAACACATCTTTTTCTGATTCTTTTATTCAAGTTTTAGATATAGAGAAATCTGTCCAATTAGCAAAACTGGCCAAAACTATGAAACTATCACTTGTTTATGTGCCTGAATCTGGAATGCATGCATCTAATCACTTTTTATTATATTGTGTTAGCATGTTCTCTTGCTGGGACTCTAATCACTTGTTAAAAAATTCAAAAGGCAGCAAACCAATCTCCTCACATTATATCTTATTGCAAGTATGAATTCAGCACATGGACTTGAAAAGATGCTCTGCCTTTATACCCAACTACACACCAAGATATAATAGATTTGGTGGGGACTATGGTGAATTCATCTTAAATGATTGTATCAATAGCTAACAATAATTAAAACCGGAGTTACTATTTTTGTAGTAAACTGTTGGAAAATCAAAGGGCCCATTGATTTGGAGCTCTCCTTCCCCTCGTCATTTTCACCAGAGACATGCACCGCATGTAATGACGTCATTAGCAGACCATTCTTGACCACTTGATAATTCTAATTACCTCAGGATGGGCCACAGGCAGGACAGACAGTACCTCATGTCCACATCCATATCCTCCCACGGCGAAGTGGTGATTTTGAGAAAAATGATGAGATTTATGATGCAGTAAGTTGGAATGTTTTTAGCTCACTCTTGCATTATTCCCTTTCTCTATGTAGATCAGCTTTGGTGGCCAACTTATTGTATCGTTATTAATGTTGGTGCATAGATTGATGTTAAGGAGAAGGAGCTACAGCAAAAGCTTGACTTGGATAAAGAAAGGAAGGACAGAAGCCTTGAGGAAATGGTGGAAGAAGCTGATGAATATCGAAAGCTTTTTTCATAGAGATGCTAATTTTGAAAAGAAAAAACACATTCCAGTTGGCTTTCTATATTTCACCTTCTAGTGTGATTATGATCCTATAAGGACAGTATTTCTCTCTTGGAGGAAGCCTCAATTTTATCATTTAAAGACTGGGCCTATGGTTTTCATTATAGAGTTTTCTGAATCCTTTTACAGAGAAAAATTAGAACTTGTTATTGATTGAAATATATATGGGTCATTGGTGCTGATTGGTATGTACAATGTTTTTTTGTGCTGATTCATGTGAGAATGGACATCACTTGTGGCGTCTATAAATAATATTACAGATGTGTTTATGCTGTCATTGTCTCATGCTATTGGACCTCAAAAAATAAATGTGTAGATTATTCATCCATTTCACAATGTCCCAACAGTGTTGCAAAGCACCAGTAGGCAAGCCATCCGGACTAGGAGATTTCCAAGGGCCGGTACCAAAGAGAGCATGACAAATCTTTGATTCATCTAGAGTGTGAATTAACATAATATTCTTGTCCTCTGAAACATGATAATCAAGATCAGGAACTGTGAAGTCCAAGAGGTCTGGACATGAAGAGGTAAAAAGATCTTGATAAGAACCAATTAGGATATTCGAGGTTTTAGACTCATTTGAGGTCCACGTGCCATCCGCTCTTCTTATCGAATTTTGTTCTTGTCCACAATTTTGATTGTGGGCTTTAGTTCCATTGTCCATTCAATTTCTAATGGTGAGGGTTCGGATTTGCTGCCCATGACTTGTTTCCACATCGCTACCCATGGGGCATTACAGCTGCACATTAGAATTATTTCCCTTGTCATTCATGGAAAGATGTTTTCATGACGGTGTGGGTAGCAGATCTGGATTACTCTAAGCAATCCGAACCAAGTGTAAGTCTGAGGTGGGACGTACTGGAGGGAGGTTTCTAGGAGGCTGAGATTCCAATCTGATAGAGTTTATGCAGAGCTTAGTTTATGATAGCGTGTCAGGATCCTCAAAGGTCCCTATTTTTAGAAATCTTCTTGGGGAAAGGAAGAAGCTTTCTTGCTTTAGGAAAGTTACGAGTTTGTTGGATCTAAGACACATGGTCAAGTTGGGGTTTCACTAGCTCTTACTCTCTCGGGTATTTTTTCATTCTCTTCCTTTTTCAAGGAATTAACTCATTCCCATTCGGCCCTTGATTTTCCTTTCCCGGTTCTAGAAGTTTGGGGTAGATTAATTCCTTCCAGAGTAGGTGTTTTGTGCTGGAAAGCTATCATAGAAAAGTGTAACATTTGTGACTTACTTCAAAAGAAGAGGCCAAGATGGTGTTTATCCCTGCACTGGTGTATCTTATGTAAAAAGGATAGTGAGAGCTGTTATCACTTATTTGTTTCTTGTCCTTTTGTATCAGAAATCTGGTGTTGGTTTTTCTTTCTTTTTGGTTGCAGGTGGCCCACTCCCCCAAATGTGCAAAGTTTGTTTAACTCTGCTCCAGTGTGGGGTTTAAAAAAAAGAGGTAAAATCTAGTGGAGATATTTAAGAGCAGCTGTATGCTGGACAGTGTGAGAGGAAAGAAATCAACGAATTTTCCAGGAAAAAGAAAAGAACAAAGATGCCATTATTGATTTAATCAACGAACGAGTGTATCTACTACCCTCTTTTAAAACCTTAGGTTGAGTTTGGAAACAATACAAATGCAAATATGTAGACCGCAAAACCTTATATTTTGTTTTATTTTGTATGTAATTATGCTGCATATATTTGCATTTGTATTCTTTCCAAACTGAGCCTTCATTGTGAGACAAGGTTGTGAAGGCTAAGTTACAAGATGGGCTCGTGAGACGAGTCCACGAGGCAAGGTCGTGAGGCTACGGCAGAGAGGAGCGAACGCCATACCTACCAAAGAATAAGAGTCCAAATTACCCGTCGCTTTGGAGTTTCCCACTTGCATTCCTGTGAAAAGTATTTGGGTGGCCCTCTTTTTCTGGGCAGGTCATAAATCAAATACTGGAATTCTATAGTTGATCGGATGAAATCCAAGCTTCCGGGCTAGAAAGAAAAAAACACATTATCACATGTGAGCAGATCTGTGTTGGTTAAGTCACCTTACTGGCAATGCCACAATATCTCATGCAAACTTTTCCTTCAACCAAAAGATAATTGTGGCCTAGCTTTCATGATGTGGGTGTGAAGAATAGAGCACAGATAATTAAGCTAAGTTGGTGCTTTCTTAATGCTCTATGGACTAAGGTCCTTAGAGCCAAATACATTAAAAATTCAAAATTTTGGAACATGAAAGGCAGAGCAGGGGACTCTTACATTTGGTGGATTGTAGGCAATGGTTGGCAAATAGATATTTGAATAACCCATTGTTACCAAATGTACACCCTTCTCTAAATCCATAGAGGGAGTAAAACTCATATAAAGTTGCGGAACTCATTGATCAGTTTACCATGATTTGGAAATATGTTGTAGTTAATGGTTGATTTGATAACTCAACATCCCAAACTGTTTTGTCCATGGACTTTCCATTACACGTACTCAAATGTTATTGAAGATCATCAGTATGGACTTTGACCCCTCATGGATGTCTATGTCTAACTACAGCTTCAGCTTATCGCCTTTTGATGTCAGAACTTCCCAATACCTCCACCTCACATCTCTTGGCTGGAAACTACGGGCACTCAACCCAAAATTACTCGTGTTCTTATTGCGTGCAATTTATGATGCTCTACCTACTAGGAGTACACACACCAGAAAGCTTCAATGAATATTGATGGAGGCTGCTCCTTCTACAAGTAATTTGTTCTTTAAGTAGTGCTGGATGGCTAAAAAGGTATGGTTTGGTTCCGACCATGGTATCCATACTGATCTCTTTCCCCATAAGAAATTTACTGATTGGATTATTTCAGATGAGCAGTGTGTTGATTCTATTCCCTCATATTTAATAGCTGCTTCACTTTTGTGGCATGTTCGGTTGGCACGTAATGGAGTTATTTTGAAGAAAGAGAGGTGGAGACATAAAGTCATTGTTACTAAGGGTTTGTTTGGTTTTCAGTTGAAATCGGAATTGGATTTGAAATCCTTCGAAATCAGAATGGTCTATTTTCATAGTCTGTTTGGTTCAGATAGGAATGGATATGAAAATTGGAATCAGCAGGAATAAGATTTCATTCCCAAGGGAGGAGTAGGGAATGGCCATTCCTTCAAATGGGGGAATGCTATTCCATCAGGAATGGGAATGAGATTCCGATTCCACTCAATCAAACAGTTGGAATCAGAATAACCCGTTCCGATTCTGATTCCAAACCCTTATTCCTGCAAACCAAACGGAGCCTAAAGCCTGAGGTTGTGTGAAAATTCATAGGGTAACCCCCCTAAAGGTTGTGTGAAAATTAATTTTGACGGAGCAACTTCAGCCTCTTGTTCCACTGGAGGAATTAATATCCAAGATCACCATGGATCCTTGGTGTATGCTCGATTTATGCCTCTTGATTCTCATCCAGCTTTGTCACTGAGACTAAAGCTCTATTCGAAAGCCTTCAGTCTGCTTTAGTTGTTGGAATTTCTCATGCTATATATTTTTTAAGGTGATTGTGCTTTTGTTATCAAACTCTTGTTAGAGGGCTCCCCTTAGGCTCTGTGGAGTATTCTCTCTTGTTTCTAACTGCAAGAGTGTCCTAGCTCACCTCCCTGCCTTCTTAGTTACATATTCTCATAGATCTTATAATGTTGTTGCTCATACGTTGGCTAATCTGGTCTCACCTATTCTACTTGTTGTACCTGGTCCACCATACCAACCTTTCTTAGCCTATCTTACCAAATTAGATTTTCTCATATCACCATCTTATACTGTGAGATGTGCGGCTGCAATGTACAGTGGGTAGGGCATGGGTAGAGAAAATGAGCAGGAAATCCAGGTTCCTATCTTACAAAGGGATGTAACGAAACACTTTTGACGAATGAATTGCATACAGGCTTCCTTGAAAAAAAAATAATCTAGGGGGAGTTGGCCGGTGATGGATCTTGTACCCTTTTTATAATTGAATTTGCTGTGTTGGGACCACACTGAGTACAATATACTTTACAATCATATATATTAGATTATTAGGGTAAATTGATAAAACCTCCTCTAAAGTTGTGGACCGTTGCTAAAATTTGATAATTGCAATTACCTTTTTTGAACTTTTTGACACAATTGCAAGTAGACCTCCTCAGTTAGAATCCCCTAACAAGAGGCATAAAAATGTCCAAAATAGCCATATGATTACTTTGACCAAAATGTTTATTTTCTAAATTTTCTCTTCATATCAATTGCTACCCCAAGTCCTTCCAATCTTGATGGAGCGCGATCTGGTCACTCCTAGCTGGAAGTGGCTCTGCTCCTAACTGGCGACGGACGAGAGGCATCTGAGAGGAAGAAGATGAAGGATCCTGGGGGGTTCACCCAGCGGGAACACTCCGACGATCAAGTTAGTAAACTGGGAGAGCAAAAGAGAGAGAGAGAGAGAGTGCAGAGAAATCAAGATAGTGATGATCACGCAATACCTTCACCCCTAGGGGTCAGGGTCTTTATATACTGGTATTCTGACTTGTCAGGTGTAACCGCCTCCAAATCTCTGATGCGGCGATCTGCTGTCAAATAACAGCTTAGAGTGGCTAGCCGTTATTTGTCAGAGCTGAGCTGTCGGGCAAAGGTGGCCGCTGCAAAGTACGACCTTGATAGCCTCTAGGGTTGGCAGGCATGACGCCGCCAAACGAGAGACGTGGGTGCAGTCTCCAGGTTTGGCAGGTACGATTGTCAGGGAGAAAATCTTCTATGATATGCCGAACTGCTCTGCAGCGAGCTACCTTACACCGAGCTGCTGGTGATGCACCGAGGTGCTCCGAGGCGGGTCCCTGAGGTAGCCTTAAGCAAGAGAGAGCTTATGTTAGGGAGCTGATGAGCTTAACCCGAGGTGTTTTTAGTTCGGGATTCTCCCTACTTGGAGAATCTTAGCTCGGGGTGCTTCTTGGGGAGTCTTAGCTTGGGGCAATGGAGTATCAACTTGTAGCGACCTGCCGCTTTGGGCGGGCTGTCAGACTGGGTCAGTGAGCTTCGTTATGCTGAGTTGTCCCGAACTCATTAGGATGAGTTGTCACTTATGTCGAGTCATGTCCACGTGTCCCCTTATTATGAGGTTGGGCCAAATCACCCTCCATCAATTGCCCCCCACTCCCCGGGCCAGGGGTCCTGACCTAGTGCGGGGAGTTCACGGCGTGACGGCTGGATTTGGCTCGAGGTTCAAGCCGTCCAGTCAGACAGTTTGTCGATCGGACCAGTTTGGTTGCTTGGATCAATCAAGGAT